TCCACTGACTGGAAAACATCTGCCATCCATAACATGGATGCCTACTAATCACCTGTCCCTTACATTTGACCTGGAATGACTTAAATGGGACATAGGGTGTGTGGACATCCCTTTAACAGAGAGGACTGCACTAGCCAGACCTGCTGGTGTGCCAGTGTCATTGTTGATATCATCCTTCCAAACTTCCCGAAGATGAAAGCAAAAGCCTGAAGGGATGCATCACTGAGGGTCTGGGTGGAGGAGTCTGCATCTGATTTCTGCAGGGTTTGAGACCGAGCCAGGATAAGGTGAAAAAGGAATTTCCAGTATGTTATAACTCTCAACAAGGGGATCATCAGTCAGCCCAGACAGAGGATGGGGGCAGCAGGCATCAGGTCTGAGAGCCTAAATTAGTGACAATAACAAAGAGGCAATTGCAGGTTCATCTGGGGCCATAGGGTCTAAGCCATAGCTACCTGCCTCCTGCATGGCATTTTTGTAATGGTAGAACAATTTAGTGCCTGATCAACACCTCTGACACATTCATTGTAGGGCTTAAAAGGAAGGATCGAAAGGGCAACCAGCTGTAGCGTGAATAAAGCATTTGATGGAGCTGCTGCAACAGCAGTGTCATCCAACCCCAGGCATGCTAAAGACATCCAAATTTTTTCCTTGATTGTGGCATGGCCAACTTCTGATCCATGTCATGACCCACCAAAGTAACCCTGAGAAAAAGCATGAGGTACATGAAGCTGTGTCCCCATCCATGTCTCTGCATAGTTCCATCTTTTTCTGTAAACACACTGCTGAAGGCTGCAGTTAATAGCAAAACATCTATTTCATCTCCAGGACCTGGCACCCTATTATCAGGCTGGAGACTGAGCAGGAACTTCTTAACCTGGGCAAACTCAGAAGAATGACTGCCAACCCAGAGAGCCAAAGTGTCCACCTTCTTATTTTTTTAGGTGGACCGTGTAAGAGTGTGTTGCATCTCTTCCATACTGTTGGGTCCATAGCCATCCTTGCAGGCAGCAGTGCAGAATCCTCTTGAATCTGATCCACCCCTTTGGTTGTACATTGAGCCATTACAGTCTATGATGCGCATGTGTCAGAGTTTTGTTTGTCGGCAGAGTAGGAGGGCTACTAGCCCCACTAGCTGTCCCGGATGTTAGCAAATGCTAGCATGTCTCTCTCACAGCAGCAGAACCGCAAAGTAAAAGAAATACAGTCCGAGTGAAGCACTTGAGCCGCGGGCGGATACCCGGCCGTCACCGACAATTAAAGCCTCGACTGGTAATAAGTATGAGGGCCGTTGTTGTGAGCTAGCTTGATGCTAACTTCGGCTAGCGGTAGCGGTTAGCATCCGCCGCTAACACCTGCTTCCCAGCTCACCACAACGGCCCTCCTGCCCATTGCAACAAAACTCTGGAGGCTCCCGTTGGCGGTGACGGCCGGGTATCGGCCGGGTATCGGCCCATGGCTCCAGCGCTTCACTTGGACTATAATTCCTTTCCTTTATGGTCCTGACAACTGCTGTTGCTGCTGTCTGGGGCAGGATGCTACACAGTTGAGCCAGAGAAGAGGGGCCCAGTTTGAATGTTTTGTTTACAAACTGCAACAAACAAAACTCCAGACTCTACCTTTAATAGATGAGAACTATTAAATCACTTTGATGGTGCATCACTCTAGCCCATATTTCCCATGGAAGTATGTAGCCTATTGCAGTTCCCCAACCCATAGTAAGTTCCATGTGTGTTTTTCTCCCTCATAGTCAGCGTGTAGCTTCTTACCGGGCTAGTTAGCTAGCTAAATTAGCCACTGCAAGCTAACCAACCATTAAAACACAACCCCTTTTTTTGATATTTAAAAAAGAACTGACTATGTACTGTAAAGCTTTGAAGCACATGAAAAAGAAAACAGCAAAAAGTCTTCCGTACACTATTAATAACATTAGACTATTAGAAGAGGCCCCTTAGCGATTTTAATTTATATATTTTTTCATATGTCTTTTTTGTTTTATTCTGTTTCCTGTGCTCCGTCTGTGTAAGAGCATATTATGAAGAATGTAACAACTGCCATATATTGTTGTAAATTGTTCTATTTTCAATTAAAAAAAAAACAAAAACCCACTGAGCTTCCTGTCTGTGACGGAAGCTGTCATCAGCAGAAAACCAAAAAGGCACCCATGTGGGTGGCTGGAAAATGACCAATCATAAGAGGGCCTGGGTCAGCCTTGGTCTCCACCCCCAAAGTGTCAAAAGTCCTTGCTTCAAGCGAGCAGAACTCCACCACGAGCGAGCACAGGGGAGAGAGAGAGCGCGAGAGCAGGAGCGAGCCAGCACGCGCAAAGCAGCTGCACAGTGTTGTTGTGTGTGTCGCTGCTGTTTTTTACTCGCTCGCATCTGCCTCTGTTTCACTCTGTTGCTGAATATGTGCGCGAAGATCAAACAAGTGCGCGCGGCAGTTGAAATCTGTGCGCGTGACACGAAATAATTTACACGAGAGAGAGATTTGCGCGCGTGCAGATGTATTATCCGCTCGCGCCACATGACACAAATATAACGCCATAGTCGGCCAGAAAGCTTTGTCACAATTGTATGGCTTTGTCATATTATATTTGACCAACTACGTGATCATCTGAATATTAATACTGAATAAGATATATTTCAGTCTGGCTATTGGCCCAACCATAGCACTGAAACCACTTTATTAAAGGCAGCAAATAACCTGAGATTTTCAAATGATTCAAACAATGGAGCTGTCCTCTTTTTGTTAGATTTAAATTCTGCTTTTGATAGTATTGATCATAGCATTCTAATCAATCGACTTGAGAAATAGGTTGGTCTCTCAGGAGGCACAGTGCTGGACTAGTTTTGTTAATACCAGTCAGACATTTTATTTATTTTTTTGTTAGTTTTGGTGATTATGTGTCTCAGAAATTTGCTATTGAATACGGTGTTCCTCAAGGAAGCATTTTAGGTCCTATTCTTTTTCTTATTTAATGCACCCTCTTGGCAACATAATTTGTCACCATCATCTGAAGAACACTGCCACATTTCAGCCATTTTTAATGCAGATACATGCTTTCATCACAAGCCATTTAGATTATTGCAACTCTCTTTATGCAGCTGCAGCCAGAATTTTTACCAATATAAAATAAAACTCGATCACACAACAGCTCTCCTCGCATCAATGCACTGGCTACCTGTATCTTTTAGAAGTGATTTCTGAGTCCTTTTTACTTATCTAAGAAACCTTGCATAATCTAGCACTTTCATGCATCAGCAGCTGCCTTTCATTTTATGTCCCACCAAGAACCCTCAGATCTACCAGTGCTATTGTTTTATAACTTCCTAATGTTTCCCACAAGAAATCTGGTAAAGTTGCTTTCTCGCTCTCCTTCGATCTTAAAAAGGCAAACTCCCTTGAAATTTTAAAAAATACATAAAAGACCTACCTTCTGAATTTGGCCCTCAATTCGGGCTAATTTTACAGTCATCATTGTAAAAGTTTTGTTTTTTTGGAAACCAAATTGTTTTTGTTTTTTTTCTTATGTATTGCTATGGTTATATTTTCCACTTATTCTTCTTTTATTGTTACTGTTCATTTTCATCTGAAATTTCTTGCTAAGCACTTCGGGCTGTATCTCTATATGAAAAGTGCTACATAAATAAAGCTATTATTATTAATATTATCTTCATTTTCTGCAAATCCCATTCCTACTGTCAGTGGCATAAACCTACTGTTCATACAAGGGTTGTCAAAGTCACCTGTCCTCAGGCGTTCAGGCCCAGACAGGCAAGGAACTGGTCATTGCCATCCTCCGTGTGGAGGGGGGCCATACAGGAGTTAAAAGCATGCATGTGCTATATACATTGCAAGTCAGAATCCATGGAAACACTGTTCTAATGTCCTACACACAACCTAGGCTGAGGCTAGGTGCCTCAAACACTCACACAAATATACAAAAAAAGGCTATCTTGCAGTAGCAGTCCTCTCTTGCCCACGACACCAAAAGTGCTAGGTACAGCACTGTTGACAAACCAAACTGACCTACTCTCAGCTTCTTTATTGCAAAAACATAGAGGTAGCAAATTTGGGTGATGGCGTTGGGGTTTTGTACTGAGGCAGGTGACTTTGTAGGTATGACAACTTGACCTGCATATATGTGACATAGAAACACCCAGTGCTAAAGCATCACTGTCAGGAGGTCAGGAAGAATGTAATAATATATTCTGTATAGTCTCTTTATTAAACTGTTTTAGTACACAGCCTCTGTCAGGGCTTTTAGAGCAGATTTGTATGGCATACTGTCACCAAGTTATTTTATACAACAGAGTTATTTTATGACAGTGGAAATGTTGTTCATGAATTTGGGTTACTGAATTCAACAATCCTATATTTGCTAAAATAATCTGAACATGTATGAGCATTATCATGACTCATTTATTCTGAGTATGTGGATCAACCCACATGAAAAATGAATTGTTTTCCCTTCATGCTGTTGAAGTTGCCTGCCTGATTGTTAAACATGATCAATAAATCTGACTGATTATTTTAGTTATTACTTTGGCTTGCGATAGGATTTTTCATAGTAAAGAACTGATTTTGTGTCAAACATATACTCTAATATCAAATCCTGTTGTGTTCTTATTATGGTCACAGTGTATTTATGTAATTGTGCTTTTGTATAAACAAAACTAAAACAAAACAAGACAAAATGTAAAATCTATGCACAAATGTATCGTGGAAGAACTAGTGCAAATGTGGTTTCACAGGTTTACCCTTTAAATTTGTATTTGTGAATTAATGAGGGAAGATTAATACTAATAGTTCTGTAATTTGTACAGATTAGTGATTGGTAATGCAGATTTGAAGATACTGCTTTTCCATCCATTACTTTTTTCATATTCAGTTGTTTTCTCTGACTTTAGGTTGTGTACATTCAGTGTAGTGACAACTTAAATAATTTCCACTTCAGAGGGAGAAAATAGTTTTAGTCTCTCTGTCACAGTCTGCCTCTACATTATGTTAGCCTCAGAGGAGCTAGGCTTCAGTATCTGAAGTGATACAATGTGTTTAATAGCTTTCCTGAACCAGGGATAGAAAAAGACATATATCACAGGGTTTAGACAGGAATTAAAACAAATCAGCCAAATTTCAATTTTTCCAGATGATGCCCCAACCAAGTTGTTCTCAGCTGCAACAGTGAAACAATAATATGGACAGTTGCACACAATAAACACAACTACAACAATACCAAGAGTCCTGGCTGCTTTCATCTCAGATTTCTTAGCAGTTATTGGCTTTGAACGCTGAAGTGTATCAGCTGCAGTTTGGGAGCGCATGGCACGAGCCTGAGACACAGCCACCACAAACACTCTGATATACAAAACTATGATGACAAGAAAGGGGCTCAAAAAGGTCACAACTAGGTCAACAGCTCCTTCAATATAATTAACTACAATTACACACTCTCCATAACAGGAGTTATACCTGCCTGGCTGTTTCAACGAATCCCTCGGCATCCAACTGCTGTGAACAGCAGAAAATATCCAACACAGACAAATGCAGAGTTGAACTCTTTTCACAGTGACTTTGGTGGAGTAAAACATGGGGTCACAAATAGCAATGTAGCGGTCAACTGATATGAGAACCATGTTTCCTACTGATGCACTGACAGCAAAGAAACCTGAAAAGTAATACACAACACACATTATGTCACCCAGAGTCCAACAACCTCGATAGAGGAGGATTTCAGCTGGCATCTGCAAGAAACCCACAATGAAGTCTGCAACAGCCAGAGACAGGAGGATGAAGTTGGTGGTGGTGTGGAGCTGCCTGAAATGGGAAAACAACAACACTGAATACACTTGTTATATGTATGTGTAGAAATAAGTGTTATTAGCAGTTATGATAGCAGACTATGAATTGTCCTATAACAATAAGGCCTAAATATAACACAGTATTGTAGATGTAAACACATTTGCATATAACAAGTATGCAGTAATGAAAGGCCTAAACAAGAGAACATTACTCTTATGCACTACTTATGAACATGAGGAGAAGGTTAGTGGATGTGCAGCAGCCTGAAATGTGTGAAATCATCACTAATTGTTTCAGTAACACATCTCAACAGCACCATAATCGAAGTTATCATCAGCTTAAATGTGACATCATGCTGCAGAGCTCAAAGCCATTTCTTCATGTAACTGTAACCAAAGAATTAACACTTTGTAAGCCAAGCAAAAAAGTGTATCTCTGCCTGAAGTGGGAGATAGAGGTGATGACCAGCAGGTTAAGAACCACGGTGAGCATAGTGATGCAGGACAGCACACTGAGAGTGACTGTGGCCTCCAAGTGAGGGCGACTTGTCTTCCTGCAGGAGGTGTTGACTTGGGGAAAGCAGAGTTCAGCCTCCTCCATGGCCACTGACAAATGGCTTTGATCAGAAAGCTGCCAGAGCTCAGCAGGTCCTCCTGTCTCTCTGATGTGCAGCTGATTTATCTCTCTTCTCACCTCCCATATGCTAATTCCAGCTATTCAGTAGGTCAAAGGTGACTATGTCATACTCTGAGTCCCAGTACACTTCAACGTTGTCAAGCACAATGACCATTCTGCGTTGTGGGCCACATGATGCAATGATTTCAGAATCAGCTTTATTATTTGCCAATTACATGTGTACATACAAGGATTTTAACTCCGGTAGACTTGCTCTCAATGTACCAGAATTGACATGAATACTCAAAATTTAGCCAAGAGGTGGAGTACACAGTAATGTACAATATACAAAAAGTATACAAATATACATCAAATATAAAAAATATACAAGGATGCAAGTGCTGTTTTTCCTGCCACTCTGACTGTTAGGAGTTCATCAGCCTGGGGAGGGAAAGAAAGAAAGAAAGAAAGAAAGAAAGAAAGAAGTCTTTGTGATGGATAGTTTTGGCGAACAGTGCTCTGTAGCACCGGATGATGATGCTGCTGGAGGGAGGGAGTTTAAACAGAATGTGTCCGGGGTGTGAGGGGTCTACAGTGATGTTTCCTGCCCCTTTTCTGACCCTTGACCGGTACAGGTCCTGGCTGGAGGGAAGATCAATCCCAATAATCCTCTCTGCAGACCTGAATGTCCCTTTGAGCCTGTTCCTGTCCAGTTTGGTGGCAGATCCAAACCAGACGGTGATGGATGTGCAGAAAACAGACTGGATTATGGTTATGTAGAACATGATCAGCAGCTCTTGAGGCAGGTTGAGCTTCCTGAGCTGTCGCAGAAAGTACAGCCTCTGCTGGGCCTTTTTCCACACAGTATCTATGTGGGAGGTCCACTTCAGGTCCCAAGAGATTGTGGTGCCCAGAAACCTGAAGGTGTCTACAGTAGACACTGTGCTGTTGAAGATGGTGAGACGAGGCAGTGTCGGGGGGCTTCTCCTGAAGTCCACTGTCATCTCCACAGTCTTGAGCGGGTTCAGCTCCAGGTGGTTCTGACCGCACCAGAGGACCAGCTGCTCCACCTCCTGTCTGTATGCAGACTCCTCACAGTCCTGGATTAGACCGACGACCATAGTGTCGTCTGCAAACTTCAGGAGTTTCACAGAAGGGTCCCCTGAGGTGCAGTCGTTGGTGCCAGTCTTTCAAAGGATTTCATGACCACAGATGTCAGGGCGACGGGCCTGTAGTCATTTAATCCTGTGATGGAGGGTTTCTTGGGAACCAGGATGATGGTGAAGCGTTTAAAGCAGGAGGGTACTTCACACAGCTCCAGCGATCAGATCTAAGTGAAGATAGGGGCCAGCTGGTCAGAGCAGACTCTCAGGCAGGAGGGAAACACACCGTCAGGTCCCGGAGCCTTCCTGTTCTTCCGTCCCTGGAAGAGCTGTAACACATCCTCTTCACAGACCTTTATTGCAGCTTGGGGGTCAGTGGAGAGGGGGGAGGGAGAAGCTGGGGGTGCAGATAATCCCTTTGTGTGGACCTGTTCAGGTCGTCTGCTAGTTGGAGGTTTTCCACAGGGTGGGGAGATGGTCTCCTGTAGTTGGTGATGTCCTGTAGGCCTCTCCAAACTGACGCAGGGTCGTTGGCGGAGAAGTTGTTTTTTAGCTTCTTAGTGTAGCACCTCTTGGCTACCCTGATCTCTTTTGTCAGCTTGTTTCTGGCCTGCTTGTACAGGGCCCGATCCTTGCTCCTGTAGGCCTCCCCCTTGGCCTGGCACAGCCGCCTGAGTTTGGGTGTGAACCAGGGTTTGTTGTTGTTGTTATATGTGCATTCAAAGCAGGCCTGTAGCTCCAGCTTTGACTCCACAGTCCACTTCATTACAATCCTTACTACAGGCTTAGAAGTTTTTAATTTCTGCCTGTAGGTCAGGATGAGATGGAACAGACGGCGATCAGAGAGCCCCAAAGCTGCACGGGGGACAGAGCGATAAGCGTCCTTTAAAACTGTGTAGCAGTGGTCCAGTGTGTTAAAGTCCTTGGTGGGGCATTTTTTATGCTGTTTGTATCTGGGAAGTTCGTGAGAGAGGTTTGCTCTGTTAAAATCTCCTAGGATGATGAGCAGGGAGTCTGGATGTTTTTTCTCCACGTCTGTCACCTGGTCAGCCAGGTGGAATGTAAACACAGACCAGAACAAATGAGGAAAACTCCCGCAGTGAATAAAATGGTTTACAGTTAATGATGAGAGTCTCCAAGTGAGGCCTGCATGACTTCTTCAACACTGACTTCTAGGGGTGTCCCCAACTAAGAATTTTCATAGTCAAATCTGATTTGACAGATTTTTCCTTTAGCTGACTAATCGTTGAATCATGTTGTTTTCCCCCTCATTGATTAATGAGCTCATTTACGTCAGTTTGCGCTCTAGAGAAAATAGTTAAAACAAATTTAATTCTTCAGTTGGCATAATAAGATAATAATAATAATAATAATAAAAGTAAAAGGGTTATCATTTTATCTTTATCTTTATTGCTTTCACTTCATCAAGGTATGATGCTCTAGATGAGCGCAGACGTGCTGCCCAGCCGGGGACAGCCCTCCATTCCGAAACACCGCTGTTCCGAACCACCCCCACTCTGAAACCCCCCCACTCCAAAACTGATTTTCAAGTCCATATCGAGTTTCCTGCATCAAGCACTGCTGCCCGCTCTCCGGCCGCACTCACACAATTCTAAAATTTGTTGTACTACAAAAGCTTGAAATGAACGTTCAACTCATTGTTTTTTATTGAAAATATGTCACTGTCTTCATTTATTATGTATAATATCACTAGCAGCAAACACATTTAAAAGGAGACGCTTGTCAAGTCTTCTTACGTACTGTCCGTAGTGCTGAAATCCCCACTCCCGGCCGCACCCGGCCGCACTTGCACAACACGTGTTCACTGAGCCAGGTTTCAGTGAAACACAGGGTGGCAGATCTGCTTAAGTCAGAGTTTTTATGAGTTAGGAGCAGCAACTCGTCCATCTTATTTGCCAGAGAGCGGACATTCTCCAGGTGTAAAGACGGGAGTGGAGCACATAATCCCTGCTGCTGTAGCCTCACCAGTGCTCCCACGTGCTTGCCCCATCTCCGTCTGAATGACATCACTTTGAATCCTTGAAAGGTAAACCTTAGTAAGTGTCTGTAGTTTGGTGTAATAGGCATATGAAAACAGGCATCCTTGAGTTCTACTGATACAAACGAGCCCCCCTACGCCACTGACTGGAAAACATCTGCCATCCATAACATGGATGCCTACTAAACACCTGTCCCTTACATTTGACCTGGAATGACTTAAAAGGGACAGAGGGTGTGTGGACATCCCTTTAACAGAGAGGACTGCACTAGCCAGACCTGCTGGTGTGCCAGTGCCATTGTTGATATCAACCTTCCAAACTTCCCGAAGATGAAAGCAAAAGCCTGAAGGGATGCATCACTGAGGGTCTGGGCGGAGGAGTCTGCAACCGATTTCTGCAGGGTCTGAGACCGAGCCAGGATAAGGTGAAAAAGGAATTTCCAGTATGTTATAACTCTCAACAAGGGGATCATCAGTCAGCCCAGACAGAGGATGGGGGCAGCAGGCATCAGGTCTGAGAACCTAAATTAGTGACAATAACAAAGAGGCAATGGCAGGTTCATCTGGGGCCATAGGGTCTAAGCCATAGCTACTTGCCTCCTGCATGGCATTATTGTAATGGGAGAACAATTTAGTGCCTGACCAACACCTCGAGAATGCGGGCGCCAGAATGCCTTTCTAACGTTACCAGAGGGAAACATTGGTGGCAGATGTGAGCGGCAGATTCAGTTCGCTACACAACATATCTCTTACCCGATTGATGTAATTCAAGCATCAGAAAGTGCGTTCCTATATTTTTGTGCTTTGAATGACCAGTGCCATGACGAGCATGGTTTGTTTAGCCAAGCGGCTAGGCTTTACTGCAGCGTCTGTCAGCTGACAGCTCTTGTCAATCAGCTGGAAAGAAGCAAACCATCTCAGCTGGATCCCACCGGTACTCCTGTACAGCTACAACGGTCACAACTCACTGGGACCCCCCAGCCGTTGGTGGGCAGAAATGTCCAAGGGGAGGAAAAACAAAGGTGAGACCAACTGTGAAGGCTCTACTATGGCCGCAGACGTAGAGACGGAGCTGGTTACTATGGACGCTGTCAGGAAACACGTCAACCAGGTGCTGGCACAGCAGAAGGCACATTACACAGAGATGCTGGATAGACAAGCGGACACATTTAATAAGTTTGTTCGCATACTCATGGACTTTACTAATGAGCGTCTGGACTCCATGAATAGAAACATTCAGGAGCTAAAAGACAGCATCCACTACACAGCAGGAAGTGGATGAGATGCAAGTCAAAATCTCCAAGGTTTTGTGTGATCATAACACCCTTGAAGGTGGAATGCGCACCATCTGTGACACTTTGTTAGCACTGGAAAATAAGGCTGACTACCTTGAAAATCAGTCAAGAAGGAATAATCTCATTTTTGACGGAATCAGGGAATGAGAGAGAAACCAGCTGATGCAGAGAGGAAAGTCCGCAGCCTGATCTCTGAGAAGTTAAAGCTGAACGCTGGAGCCATGGTCATCAAGAGAGCCCACCGCATGGGGAAGCGGGACCCCACAGGTGACCGTCAGAGGCCCATAGTGGCTAAGTTTTTAAATTTCAAAGACAGAGAGCTGATCTGGTCTAGGAAAAAAGAGCTGAAGAGAACTGCCCCAGGTGTCTACATGAACGAGGACTTCTCTGAGGCAGTGAGACAGAAAAGACGGGAGCTGCTGCCCAAACTGAGAGAAGCTTGGGACAGAGGGGACATTGCATACCTGAAATTTGACCGCTTAGTTGTCCACTAACCAAGGGTAAGGGGGGTTGGTCTCAACCGCAACACCAGTGCTGATCCCTCCCCTGTGGCCTCCACCCCAAAATGAAGGTACTGGACTAAGTGATAAATGTCAGTTTAAATTTTATTTTACTTATTTTATTTATTTCATTTTATTTTTTATTTTTTTGTTTTGTTTGATTTGTTTTGACATACATGTCTATTAAAATACCAAAAAAAGGTTTAAAATTTGCTCACTTAAACATCTGCAGTTTGAAAAACAAGGTCAATGAGTTAAGCTCAATATTGCATGACAATGATATCCACATAATGGCCATTTCAGAAACCCATTTGGATAACACAATAGAGGACTCAGTAATTTCTATACTAGGGTACAACTTATTTAGACTGGATAG